ATTTTACTGTCAGCATTGTTTTGTCTTTTGCTATTTTGACTGCTAGACTATGAGTTTGTTGTTGTTGTTTGTTTGTTTTGCTTTTTGGTTTTTCAAGACAGGGTATCTCTGTAGCTTTGGAGTCTATGTTTTTACTTGCATATTCTTTTTTTGTTTGTTTGTTGAATTTTTTTCTTTTCAAGACAGGGTTTCTTTGTGTAACACAGGGCTGTCTTAGAAGTAGCTTGGTACACCAGTCTGGCTCGGAACTCATAGAGTTCTGCCCCTCTCTGCCTCCTCAGTGCTGGGATTAAAGGCATGTGCCCCCCCAGGCTCTAGACTGAATTTTTGAGACCTTGTTTCATTGTAGCCAAGGCTGGCCCTGAGCTCAGTGTGTAGCTGAGACTGGCCTTGAAACCCTGTATCTACTTCTCTAGTGTTAGGAATAAAGGTATGTTCCACAGCATGGGCTTGGTAACTTATTTACACATACTCACACATAAGCCTTTTTGTTTGTTTGGTTTTGGTTTTTTGTTTTCTTTTTGTTTTTGACACAGGGTTTCTCTGTGTAGCCCCAGTTGTCTTGGAAGTACTCTGTAGACCAGGCTGTCCTTGAACTCAGAGATCCACCTGCCCCAGTCTCCAGAGTGCTCGGAGTAAAGGTGTGGCTACCACTGCCCAGCTAAAATTATTTTTTATTACATCTATTTCTGTATGTGTCAGTAAGAGAAGAACTTGTGGAGTTGGTTCCCTCAGTTAGATAGAACTCAGGCTATCTGGCTTGTCTGTAGGCACCTTTACCCACATTACCATCTTCTCGCCTCTTAGTTTCTAATTTGTGTGATCTGATGGCCTTTTCTTTCAGTTTGATCTTTTCTAAAATTAATTATGCTATTTTGAAGCAAGATATTAACCTGGATGTGTGGCGATCCTCTTACCTCACCTTTCTGAGGCTAGGATTACAGGTGTAAGCCACCACTCCTATCTCATTTAACTAATTAATGAACTAATTAGCTTTTACAAGACAGGGTCTTGGCCTTGTTTTGCAGCCTTGATTCTCTGAGCCTCAGGTCCTCCTGCCTCTGCCTGCCTAGTGCTGGGATTACAGGTGGTATGAGAGCTGGAACCCAGGGCTTCTTGTATGCCAGGCAAACACTGTACCAGCTAAGCTACATCCCCTCTGAATACACAACACATTCATTCTACTGAAAATTTGAAAGTTAGAGAAGAGTTAATGAAAAGGAACAATGTGAAGGCTCTTTCCGACTCCTGTCCCCAACCCAGCTGTCCAGCCTCCCTCCTAGCAGCAAGCCATGCTATCAAGTTCTTGTGAATACTTCTGAAGTTACAGAGTTACATGGTTTCTCTTTTATGTTCTACAGCCTGGGTTCTATCTCATTCTCAAGTAACTTCCCACAATCCCCGTGAGCTCATTTCAAGCCATGCCATAAAGTGCTTCCTTATTTCTTTTGCTTAAAGTGATTCAGTTTTCTATTGTGGATGTGTCATGATTTAATCAATGGCTGTTATTAGGCTGTTTCCAAACTACTGTGATTACACACAATGCTGACATGACTTTCTTCATAAAAGTGTTATTTCCCAGGCATGTGAGTGGAGATGGACTCTGAGAGGTGGAGCTCACACATGAGGGGCAGGTGCAACTTTGTGTTTGAATTCATCCTACTGATCTTCTTGGAGTCTGTGGATATTTCATCTATCTCTGCATCCCTCATCACTGTCATACAACCTAGGACCACACACACACACACACACACACACACACACACACACACACAGAGAGAGAGAGAGAGAGAGAGAGAGAGAGAGAGAGAGAGTGAGAGAGGGAGAGAGAGAGAGAGAGAGAGGGAGAGAGAGGGAGAGAGAGAGAGAGAGCTACTTATAGCCCAGGCTAGCCTTGAACTTGATCTATAGTTGAGGATGATGACCTGGAACTTCTGACTTCTGATTTTCCTAAGGCCCCTATGTTCTGAGTGCTGGGAGTATAGTATATCACATCTTGCTTGTGTGTTACTAGAAAATTTAAACAGGGGCTGACATCCTTAGTCCCATTCAGCATATATTCTTTTTAAAGATTTATTTACTTATGTATGAGTACTCTATTTGCATGTGTGCCTGCAGGACAGAAGAGGACACCAGATCTTATTACAGATGGTTGTGAGCCACCATGTGATTGATGAGAATTGAGCTCAGGACCTCTGGAAGAGCAGCCAGTGCTCTTAACCACTGAGCTATTTCTTCAGCCTCCATTTGGTATGTTCTTAATAAATAAAGACAACTAGTTTTTTTTTTTTTTTCTTAGTCAGGGTCTTAACATGTAGCCCCTGGTTGCTTGGAATTCTCTAGTAGACCAGGCTGGCCTCAGCTCATAGAAACAGCTGCCTCTGCCTCCTGAATACTGGGATTAAAAGTGTGGGCGGGCAGAAACAACTAGTTTTTTTTTTTTTTTTTTTTAGCAACACATTCTTTCCCTCCAGTGTTCAATTCAAAGCAAACAATTCATGTTCAAACCAAGTTCCATCATTATGTTGGAGCAAAACTCATGGAACATTTATTATTTCAGTATTTGAAAACTAAACAAACAAACAAAAAGTTGGGCAGTGGTGGTGCATGCCTTTAATCTCAGCACTGGGGAAGCAGAGGCAGGCAGATCTCTGTGAGTTGGAGGTCAGCCTGGTCTACAAAGCTACACAGAGAAACCCTGTCTCAAAAAGAAAAAGAAAATTAATCAAGAATCTTCTTCATTAGTTTTGTTGTAAAATAACTTCACCTTTATTCCTTTTTATAATTCAAAACATTTTTTTTTTTTACCCCCATATGTATGCTCTAACTGTAATGGCTTTGTGTCTCCAGTATTTTTCAAAACCTCATGATCTGTCTATTAATTCCTCTATCACCCATACTCCTAAGAACTCTGCATAGCCCATAAACTCTTTTGGGAGGGTGTTTGTTGCTTTTATAAATCATCTGCTTCTTTTGGGTTCATGACTTTTCAGTTGTATAACCTCTCCAAGTATCTTTATTCATTTACAAAATAGGGAATGTGATAGTGCTATAAGTAGTTAATGAGCTTGTGGATTTCAGTTTTGGCACATGGTAATGTTAAGAAGGAGAGTTCTTGGTGCTTCTACTCATCTTCTGCTGTATACCAAGAATGTAGACTCCTGGATACTTATTCTGTCAGGGTTATTTCTTAGAGTTGTGGGGTTGTGTCAGCATGTGGCTTTGAAAGATGAAGTAATGGTATCCCTTTAGGACCAAGAACAAGTTCCCTCCCTCCCTCATTCCCTCCCTCCTTCCCTCCCTCTGTCCCTCCTTCCCTCCCTCCCATCTTCACTCCCTCCCTTCTTTCCTTTCCTTCTTTTTGTTAGTTTTTCAAGATAGGGTTTCCATTTGTAGCCCAGTTGATCCTGAACTCGCTCTGTAGACCAGGCTGGCCTGGAAATCAGAGATCCTCCTGCCTCTGCCTCCCTGTGCTGGGATTATGCCTGGCCACTAGTTAATGTCTGTGATTCATGGCATTCTTAAATTGCACATTCATATGTATAATCATCTTGGGCAAGGACTCAGCAATCAAGTGATAAAACCAGGTCTTGAATTCTGTTCCCTATTTCATCTGTTAGGAAACGGAATCTTAGTATGGCCAAAGTCAGCAATTATGTAACATGTAAAGCTCAGTTACTTTTACACAACTTTCTTTTTATGTATTGCAACTTCACACAAACTATATAAGGAAAACAACAGCCTCCGTGATTTAGAACTAGGTGTTAGAGTGGTCAGTAATTTCAATTTAGGAATAGTTTTGAAGTTACCTTTATTTCATTTTGAAAACGAAGCAGTGGATGTTTTGGCTACCCACCAAAGCACAAACTTGACGATGTTGAGAGTGCCTAGTCACAGCAAGTACAGAAACCATGAGAATAGCAACCTGAGCAATTACTACTCCAGCCCAGTGTTTGATTTTAGCCTACTGAGAGGGTCACATGCTAATCTGTTACTGTTTAATAGATGTGGTAGATCACACAAGATTCTACAAATCAAAGACAAAGGGAACTTGATTAGCATCAGCATGTTAGTTCTTGCCCACAAAGCACAATGTAGATAAAGAGCTCTGTCTGGGTGTTCTTTGTAGCACGAGTTGGTTGAAGAAAGAAGGCATTCCAAGATGAAATTTTACGGCCTATGTGGCAGCAGGAAGGTCCAGCCCCTCTGATGGACTGAACCCTCAACAGCCGTATAAAGGCATATTTATTGATTGTTATACAAAGTATTTCCTCATACTAAGGTCCCTAATGTAACTTATGTCTTACTAAAGGAGAGCATCACATGCCCCCATGACATTAGTCCTTTATTATGTATGTTTGCAATACACAGTCATGGAATGGCTGTAATGGCCCTTCAGTAAAACAGTTCTACAAATCATGGAAAGCAATCTCTGTTTTCCACAAGGATTCTTAACTGTTTACCACAATGATTCTTCAAGGTCTAAAGAACAGCTATTTATTCTAATGTCTACCCCAGATACAGTGGCTATGCTAAATTCTTACAACAGAGCTCAGATGAATGTTGTTCCCTTAAGGGATCAGAGCCTAAGACACTCAACTTGAAAATGTTGCCATTCTATAGAAAGGAATAAAGCCATGTGGTTTTAATCCCAGCACTTGGGAGTCAGAGGCAGGAGAATCTTCGAGTTCGAGGCTAGCCTGGCCTACGGCGTGAGTTCCAGAACAGTCAGGGGCACATATGGAAACCCAGTCTCGAAAAACAAAAACAAGACAAAACAAAATCTGTTCACCACTTAACCAAGGAAACCCCTACCAGAGCCCAAAGCCCAATAAACCACAACTCCCAGAAGACTTTGTTCCCGGATGCGTCATATAACACTCCCCCCTACCCCCGCGCATCGAACTACATCTCCCAGAAAGCCCCACAGGGCCCAACCGTCAGCTTCCCCCGCCCCTGCTCCCCTTTCCCCCCCGCAGCGCGGTGGCCGTCTAGCTCCAGTGGTCGGCGGAGCGGGCACGCGCCGGGGTCGCGCGGCTGCCGAAGGGGGCGGGCGCGCGCAGGAGGAGTAGAGGCGCAGGGGGCGGGGGACGGCTCGCTTGCTTGCAAGATGGCGGACGAGGACGGGGAAGGGATTCACCCCTCAGCCCCTCACCGGAATGGAGGCGGCGGCGGGGGTTCTGGGCTCCACTGCGCCGGGAACGGCGGCGGGGGAGGCGGCGGCCCGCGGGTCGTGCGCATCGTCAAGTCCGAGTCCGGCTACGGCTTCAACGTGCGGGGCCAAGTGAGCGAGGGCGGGCAACTGCGGAGCATCAACGGGGAGCTGTACGCGCCGCTGCAGCATGTGAGCGCCGTGCTGCCCGGGGGGGCGGCCGACCGGGCCGGGGTGCGCAAGGGGGACCGCATCCTGGAGGTGTGAGTATCGCGGCCGCCACGCCCCGTCCCTCTACCCTTCGCCTGTCCTGGCCCTGTCCCTGTCACCCAGGCCGCACCTCCCCCAGCTCGCGAGCCTGCCGCGACCCTCGCCCCCGGCAGGCCTTCGCGGCTCGGCTCGGAGCCTTCTGCTTTTCCTGGCGTCTCCAGTTTGTGTCCTTGCCTCACCATCCCGGGGGTCTCCCCGCTGTTCTCAGCCTCTTTGCCTTCTGCTATGGCATGCTGCTTTTTGCTCCTTTCTGACGGAGTCTCCTTTTCGACCCATCCAGTACAGTATCCTCCCCAAGTTCTCATCTGTAGCATCATAGTTTCCTGGTCTCTGCCACTCCCCTCAGACTCTGTGGATTGTCCCTTCTACCTTGAGACCCAGGAGGACCTGTGGTCAGTTCATTTTCCCCTGGAGGCATCATCTCTTCTCCCCCCCACCCCTTCCTTCCTTCCTTCCTTCCTTCCTTCCTTCCTTCCTTCCTTCCTTCCTTCCTTCCTTCCTTCCTCTTAGTTACTTCGCCGTTATGGGAAAGCACACCGACATTTTTGTATCCACTGCTTGGCCTTTTCTCCCCTCTTCTTTGTAGTCATACTACCTCGAGTATACCTTATCATCGCATGCGTTTTTTGAGGGAAGGGGTTGACACTAGTTTTTCTTCTGATCCTGATATTGCAACCTGATTTTTAATCTGGTTTCTTCATGGCCACATTCCTCTGAGTGCGCCCTTTTCTGCCTCCCTGTCTTCCCACGTGCGATTTGTGGAAGTGCTTTCCTAGCTCCTACTCCCCCCCCCCCCCCGCAATCGCCTTAGGTCTTTGCCTTCTCCATTTTGCTCCTGCTCTGTGCTGTTGCAATCCTACACTTTATCTTAGTTGTTCCTCTAGATAGCTTTCCCTTATCTTTTCAAGGCCCTTTCTGCTCGTGCAACCCATCTTCTGCTGCAGTGTCTTCATACTCCTTCAGCCTCACTTGTCACCACCACATCCCTTAAAGCTCTCAGGATGTTGCCTTGGCAGTTTCAGCGCCCTAAGTTGTGTTGTGCTTGTGATTTTGTACTTTGTACTAAATGTGTATAGTGGTTATCGATTGACTTGTAGGTCTTGTACCCACTCATTGTCTCCATTCTCCTCCAACCCCTGTATTTCTCTGCTTACTACTTCTATATCGTGTACCCCCTCCCTCACCCCCCCCCACCACACAGGCTCTCTCCCATGATGAGATTTTCTTCTTAAACGTTTCATTTTAATTCTGCTTTCCACAGCTGCCTGCTTTCACAGACTCGCCTCAGGTCTATAGTCGCTGTATGTTGAGAGTCTGTCCTTGCAGAGGAGCCCATTCTTTTCCCATTTTGTGCCATTACTCTTACTCTGTGGAATCATGTATTCTGCTTCCTCGTCTTTCCACTCCAATAAAGAGTAGCTCACTAATGCATGTGTTTGGAGATGTTGGGGATTTCCTCTGACCTTTCTGGAAATAGGTGCTTGCTGTTACAGACTATTTTCTAATATTCTCTGGCAGTATATTCTTAGTCTTTGTGGGGAGCATTAGTATACTGAATACAATAATGACTTTTGATGCCTTGTTCCTGAGTACATAAGGTATTTATTTTCTAGATAACTCAAAATCTGTGGCTGATGGTTTCTTTTGTTAGAAACTTTTAGAGTTATTTTGCTTTTCCTTTGGAAATTAACTTTGATTCAGCTTTTTATTTTTCGATTTAAAACATATAAAGTTATAAGTGTATTAAAGTTCTAGGTCATTTGCTCTGTAGGATCCAAAACAATGACTACAGCTAATGTCATCTGTCATGAGTGTATACGCCATACAACTGTATACATAGTTGATGGCTTTTTGCCTTTATTGTAGTCTACAGCAGATAGCCCAGCTATAAACTTGTCATTGTAGAGAAGATAGGAATGATCCTGTGGATCCCTGTGATGGGCTTTGCCTTAGGCCGCATTTCAGGTCAGGAGCCTAGAGCAGAAGCTAGTGTTTTTGGTACTGCCCTTGGTGAGAGTAATTTTTGTCATTTTAGGTGGTAGGGGAAAGAAACACTGCCTAGAAAAATTCTCTTTGAAAGGTTGGTGATGATAGAAAATCTTCATGATACTGCTTTTGTACCCTTCCAGCTGTTTGTGTTCTGATTTCCAAATTCTTTGACACTTCTATGGTTTTGTTGTAGAAGTAGTAATAGAGTAACAATTCTAAGCTGGTTGATAACTTCTGAGACTTCAGTATCTCCCTCCCTCCTTCCCTCCCTCCCCCCCCTTAGATTTTCAAGTAAGAGGAGAAAAATCAGCTACCAAGGTAGCTTTAGAGATTTATTTATTTGAGGCAGGGTCTCATGTAGCCCAGGCTGGCCTCAAACTCACTATGTAGCTTAGGAAGACCTTGAACATGTGGTGGTCCTGCCTCTACCTCCTGAGTGCTGGGATTACAGGTGTGTCCACTTCATTGGGTTTATGTGGTACCTGGTGCTGGGGATGGAACCCAGGGATATAGGGCTTCAAGCTTGGTAGGCAGACACTCTACTAAGTCAACTATATTCCCAGCCTGTGCTTCTCAGCTTGTCTTCTTACAAGTTCTTCAGTCAAACTCTCAGTTGTCCTAAGATGCAATACCAAGTGGTGGGGTCTGAGTTAGGCATAGGTGGATTAATTATTACTGTGTAGTTTTATGATTGCACACAAGCACAGGCTGTTGTCTGCACCCTGATAATTGAGGTTTGAGATTTCTCCTTATGTTTAAACTCTTTTTTCTATGTACAACTGTTACTTCAGTTTTCAACTGCAGTTCACAACTGGTAGAGGTGTGAAAGAACAGTAACAGAGATCTAAGTGGGTACAGACTTGAACATCAGTAAGAGGATCCATTTCTTTGTGCTGCTCCTAGCGTTTGCTTACCAAACCTCATTGAATGCTGGGATAATTGTCAGCTGGAGCCAGTGTTGGCTCACTTTCTACTTCTTCCTTTTTAGGCTGACTAGATTGTGACTGGTTTAAGAGTCATATTGTAGGGCTTGGTACTACAGTATGAAGAAGCCCTCTGGGCTGCAGATTTTACTGCAGATGGAGAGTTTTCTTGACTAACAATGCTATAATTTTTCTCAGTGTAATGTGTACTACGTGTCTTCCCTTTGATGTATATGTACCTTGAGGCCAGTATATAAAAGATGCTTTCAATAAATAGAACCAAAGTAAGTATATCTTTGTACTAATTATATAGTATGTGGCGTAACTGACTTCAGGTTAATTTCTGTAAGGTTTAGATAGGTCTGAAGACACGTGATTGATTTCTTGAGAGTTGCCTTTAGGAGAGTTGCAGTGTGCAGCGGATATGGATATGGAAATACCACATTTTTTGAGATTATGTTTGTTGGCTTTTTTTGGCCCAGTACTGGGATTTTTGTGTGCACACACATGAATGCACAGGACACACTTTGAGGAGTTGGGGCAAATTCTCCTGTTTCCACCTCCTATCTCTCCACGTGGGGGGGGGGGCTGGGCTTCCAGACATCTTTTTCAGTGCATCCAACTTTGAGGTGGGTTGCAGGAATGGGACTCAGCATACACTTTTACCTGCCATATCTGCTCTGGGGAGTGAATTTTAAGCATGGACCCTTAGAGTTGGCTTGTAAGCATTCCAATTCATGATATATATTGCTAGTCAGGGATTATGTGCTTTCCTTCTTAATAGCTACCAGATAATATACCCCTCAGCTTTTCCTTGTTAAGGTTAAAACATAAGGTAAGTTATGTTGTATATGACAATTTGTTTACTGAGGGTTATTTTTTGTTTGATTTCGTGTGAATGTTTGAAAATCATTGGACAAAGAGTTTGCTGTGATAAGTGTTTTTACAGTTGAGTGAGTCATGAGACATAAAAGTATCTTAGGAGCCTTTAAAAAAGTTGACTGATTTCTTTTTGGCTCAGATTTTCCAGGTAGACTTGGATAATAGTACTTGAAATGATTGTTGAGCAAAGGGGATGATTATGGCAAAGTCCTCACACTTGGGTATGCAGAGACACAGGTTGGCAGGTACACTCTGATGGCTGTGATTCCGTGTGTCTTGCCTCCTTTGCCTGGTATAGGGAATTTAACTCCTGTGCTAAGCTACGTTCTCAGAACAACACAGTGGTTATGGACTGATCTAGAGCATTCTCAGCTCATGTTCTCCTTCATTGTGGTTACAATGGGAGTCACTAGCTAGGACTTGGCTAACAAGTGATCTATTAAGGGCCTAAACTCCAGACTAAGGGAAATCAGTTCCTCACCAAGTAGTCTGTCCAGTTGTACCTACTTCCGTGGGTCTTGCTGTTGTCCTGCACAGTTAAGACAGAACAAGCCGGGTGTTGTAAGAATAAGCTTGGCGTTGGTAGTGCACACCTTTAATCACAGTACCTGGGAGGCAGAGGCAGGAGAATCTCTGAGTTTGAAGCCGGTCTGGTCTACAGAGCGAGTTCCAGGGCAGGCTCCAAAGCTATTGAAAAATAGTGTCTCAAAAATTCAAAGGGGGAAGAGAGAGAGAACAAATGATGCCAATCATTGTGTCATCATCCTGCAGTGTCTGTGGTGTATTACAGTTTTCAGTGCAGTGCGGATACTTTTGACCTTCAGGACAGCTTCTGTAGGGAGGTTGAAAGATCCTCAGGGCGGGGACTGTGTTAACTGTTAATGTGTAGTGTTACCTTGGTTTTCTTCAGTGAGTATTTGCTGGATGAATAGGAGGAGTAAAATTATCCCTGTTTTGTGAGGAGAAAAAGAGTGCTGCATTGAGTGACAGCCAGAATTAAATCCAGGTCTTAAGATTCTTTCCCACTTTTTAAATTTGTTTTGGTTATTGATTGTTAGTAGTCAACTTCTTTAATTTTTATTCTTTGGAAGTTTCACAGATCTATACAATGTATCTTGATCATATCTACCCCAATTCCTTCCAGCTCTACTTAGGATCCCCCCTTGGCATCTCCTTCCCAAATTCATGTCCTTCTATAA